TTGTTCCATTTTAAATTATTATTATCTAAAATGGATATAGTGTTGCATAAATTTGCTTTAGGACATGCGTATTTATTGTTATCTTAACCTCTCCTAAAAAAGTTTGGTTAGTTCGGTTAGAACCGGAACCAAACCGAAATAACCAAAAACTGAAATTGTCGGTTCCGAGAATTTTTTTAGAACCAACCGATTCCCATTTTCTAAGAACCGAATTTCTTCAAAAAGCCGAGAAAAACCGAACCAAAACCGGACCAAACCGAATGCTCAGCTCTAGCATTGGATGAGACAACATATATATAAGACTGCTTACGTGTACTAATCACCAATATACTTGCCCTTAGGTGGTAACAGCCTAATTCTTGTGTGGTGGTTGAGTTGTGAGGGTGTGACTTAACCACTATGGATGAAATTGAATGGTTTTAGGAGTTTATTTGTAGGCATGTGATAGTAGCATCCGTGAGTATGAGATTGTGGTATGCCGTGTGGCGAGGAGGGTAACAAGCAATGTCACCATTGTAACTGCAAGAGGAAATAATTGTTCTTTGGTGCAGCAACAATTTTCTTATAAAGGAAAGACTTAACTATACTTTTAGAACATATTAATAAGAGTTTTTGAAAGGTCCTAAATGGCTAGAGGGGGTGAATAGCCTATAAAAATTTCTACAAATATAGTAGAGCAAGAGATCAGTACACTAAATGGCAAAATACAATTTTGCTCTAGCTCTACGAGGGTTGCAAGCCACCTATTCAACAATTTTAGTTGTTATGATCACTAGGCACAAACAATGACTATGTCACTACTCATTAAGAGCTCTCAACAAGTCTACGCTAAAGAGCTTGACAACTAATTTGCAAGGAATGTAAAAGAGTGAGTATGGTGATTATACCGTCGCGTCGAGAAATAAACCAATCACAAGATGAATACCAATTCAATCACCGGGAGAATACCAAAGGACAAGAGACAACCAATTTTTCTCCCAAGGTTCACGTGCTTGCCGGCACGCTAGTCCCCGTTGTGTCGACCAACACTTGATGGTTCGGTGGCTAATAGGTATCACACACCTAGCCCACCACAAGAGGCGCTGCAAGAACTACCCACAAGTGAGGTAACACAATGACACGAGCAATTTACTAGAGTTACCTTGCGGCTCTTCGCCGAGGAAGGTGCAAGACCCCTCACAATCACCGGAGCCGGCCATGAACAATCACCAACACGTGCCAAAGCTCCTCCGCTTCTTCAAGCCATCTAGGTGGCAACAACCACCAAGAGAAACAAGAAATCCGCAGCCACAACGATCCCCAAGTGCCACTAGATGCAATCACTCAAGCAAATGCACTAGAAATCACTCCTAATCTCATTATGATGATGAATCAATGATGGAGATGAGTGGGAGGTATTTGCTTAGGCTCACAAGGATGTCAAGTATGTCAAAGTGCTAAGAGAGTGAGCCCCAAGCCGGTACCTTTCTATTTATAGAGCCCCAAGACTCAAAGAGCCGTTGGGCACTCTTGGGCTGACAGGACGCGCCCCAGCGTCCGGTCGCCTACGACCGTCCACCTGTCCCCGTTTGAACCAGAGCCGCTCGATCTCAACGGACATCTCCCAATCGCTCGCGCAATCAAAAGATGACCGGACGCACCGCTAATGCGACCTGACACACGTACACGTGGCGTCCGGTTATTTCCAGTAAGGGTCCAGAGGTGGTTTTTAATGACCGGACGTGTCAGGTCAGAGGCGACCTTACGCGCCCCGACGTTCGATCCTCTCTCTTCTTCTCTGCGCGCCCGCCAAAGGTTGACTGGACGCACCGGTGCACCTAGCCCCAACGTCCGATCACTTTTGCTCAGTCTCGGCCAGATAGCGCGCTGCGTCTATAAATGACCAAACGCGCCCGGGGTGAGTCCGGTCACCCCGCGGCCAGCGGCCAATCATAGACCTTCTCCTCTCTTTTTCTAAGTCCACAACCGCTTCATCCTTGCTTCCAACTTGCTAACCACAAAGTGTAGAACTTGTGTGCACGTGTGTTAGCATTTTTCAAGGCATTTTACAAGGGTCAAGGTTAGCACACTAGGTTCCTAAATACATATGCACGAATCATGTCACCTAGTGGCACTCGATAAACCGTTTAGCCAAAGATTTCTCCTCTTTATAGTACGGCTATCGATCCTAAATACACTCACACCCTCTATGGTGTCTTGAGTGCCAAAACAAAAACATATTTGATACCTTTGCCTTGATCAACCTTGTTTTTGTTTTTCTCTTTCTTCTTTTCAAGTTGGAGCTTGATCATCTTCAACACATGTCCATCTCCATCTCCATGGACTTCATCACATGCTCCATCACTTGGTATGTACCAACCTTGCTCACATGACACTCATGACAAAGGTTAGTACTTAGGTTTCAACAATCAGCTAAAACCAAACTAGGGCTTTCAGTTTTGAGACCTCTAACATGATTCAAGTTTTAGAAATGTTAGACTGATTGTTTTAGTTCATTTTGATGTTGAAACTTCAAGAATTAAAAAATATGATTATTCGGTTTCAAATATAAGATTTCAAGCTAGTCTTAGAAAGTGTCAATGATTAAAAAGTTTACAATGCAAATTGTTTTTATTAAGTAGGGAGTTCTTATCACCAAAATAGTGTAGCAAACATTAAAACGCAATAAGTTATATAGATTTAGGATTCCCAAGTGTTAATATCCCTACATCTAGTATTTTCTTCATTGTATCAAAAGAAGATTATTGCAACATGTATGTTTTAGATGTAATCATATGACCTCATGTAAAGTCCTAAATGTGTAGTCAGAAGGTTCTTGATTTGGATATGATATGGTGTCTTATCGGCTAGCTTCTAGTCTTTTTTGCAATCTAACTTTGACCTCCCTGTAATGCACCCCACCTAATGCTTTTATAGTTGGGTTAAGGGGATATATGTTATACATGGAGTCCAAAGTGAAATAGTTTGGATCATACATTTTAGAATATTTAGGAATGTTTCCTTGTCTAAGGATATCTTTTGTATAACATGACTAATAGCGAAACTACCTACATGTACCTTGTTTTTTCTACCATGACAGTTGGCAGTTACTAGTAATAATGAACATGAGGGTATGCCCAATAATTATTAGGTGGGTTATATATGCTTTGGATCTAGAGCTAGATAGTAACACAAAAGACACAAATTTAGACAGGTTCGGATCATCATAATGGTAATACCCTATGTCTTGTGTTTGGTGGTTTATATTGCTTGTTTTCGTACGTAGATGTGGATGTTTTGTGGCCTCTATTGGCTCAGTCCTAACCTAGGGACCCTATGTGCCTTATATAGTTTTGGGGTAGGGTTATATGGTCGATTTTATTTCCTAGTCAGATAAGGTATGCTTCTTATTGATATAAAATCCATTTCTCAAATTAATGGAAGTCATTCTCTTATAGGAAATGGTTCAAAAATCGCTATTCCACCTTTTAGGTTAAGGTATCATGAAAAGTGATACATGTGAAGATCGTGCATTTCAGTCACATTCAGATCTATTTTTTGAGTCCATGATATAACTACATTGGATGGATCTTCCACCTATTTAGCTAAGAAAAAATAGACGCAGAGGTGCATAATACATCGATATGAATATCATGAGTTGGCGCATAATGAAGCTGCTAGTAGTCGTGAATATCTCCTTCTTTATTCCTAATTAATCCAAGATTGGAAAAGAAGACTAAGAGGGGCCTATAGAGAACAAATATTTAATTAAGTTTAGAAGGCTATTCCATAATTGAATTCCCATTAAAAAATACTTAGTCTCTTCAACAAGACATTCTAAAACTTAGAGAATTCTAGTCATTAGGATTTCCTTTTATATGAAGTAAGCAATATTCGAGAATTTCCTATAAACATAGGTTTTATTTGGAACTCAACCAATCAACTACGAAACAAGAGAGCGCTTTTATTTTAACAGAAAGAAATACAAAATTAACAAAAATAGATACAAATGATTATAAACTAAAATGACTCAAACTTGTTTTATTAATAATTTTTTAGCTAATAAGTAGATAACCAAATTCTTTGACTAACCTTTTGAATTTAAGCAACTAAACCCATTCTCAATTTTGGAACATGAAGACATATATATGCTAGTTATCTCCAGGACGCCTTGAGGTGTTCTAGGTGGTACTATGAGTCTATGACCCTAGACTAGCCCTTGGTGTGGTAGCCACAACATAGCCCCTTCGGGGTAATCGTTCGCAGGTTTTCACGATTATAAGTGAAAACTGAACAGTCCAGTTTCATAAAAAAAAAGGAGCATTCAGTTTCTACAGAAAGAGCCACCAGTTCTCGGTTATGATATATCCATACATTGATGTGTGCTCGACTTTTGCGCCAACACATGGGTTCTTAAAGGCAGCCCATCACTACTAAAAAAGGATATTCGAGAGTCCTCCATTTATTTGTAGGTAGTGCTTAACTTCCATTCAATGGGTCCAAGGACCCATGCCACCTCTGTAAATCGATTTATAGAGGTAGTGTGGGGCGGCAGTCTTAAGATGCATGCCTCAGTACATTGCATGTAGTGTTATAAGTGGTATCCCTTCTCGCTTTTCTTTACAGAGTAACTTTGGCTGATCGAGGCATATATTGACTAAGAAGTGGAAAATCATTTTCATTTTTCTTAAAAAATATCGATGGGCAAATGGATAGATTATTGTTGGCACTATGTTTTATCACAACTTACTATTCGTACTAAACTTATACTTGGTACTAACCACTATACAATGGTTGAATCTCGTGGATGATGTCCATGATTCAGATCAAGGTGATATATGTGGAGGAGCACAACAAATTAGAGGATGCCCTTGTTAATAACCCAACTGAACACCAAGAGGGCAAATAACACTATCCAGTCATGATCACTGTGTCCGGAGAACGTGGTATTGGCAAGACAACTCTTGTGAGAGACATATACAAAAAAAATGGAAAAGAAGTAAGTGTTTGAAGAGCAAGCCATGGAAAGTTTTGCACCTTATTTGACTACTCCCAACATCCTTCAACAAATTACTCAAAGAATCGACGTAAGACGACAAAAATTGCCCTAAAGAAATGGCACAGAGATGCTGCAAAATAAATTGAAAAACAAGAAGTACTACGCTCAGTGATAGATGGTGAAGTCAGTGGTTCTGAATGGAATCACTTTTTGACTAGCATCCCAGTTGACACTAGGGGTAGTAGAGTAGTGCATATCACACAAGGCAAACTAGAAGAGCCACCTAGCAGCTACCATCATATCACCATTCGCTTAAAAAAACTTACGTAAGATGCTGCTATGTCATTGTTTCACGTAGAGGCTACCTAAGGAACTGCAAGATAAAAACCTTAAGAAGTACCAAAAGAGTATTTTCAAAATCACCCAAGGGTTACCTTTGGCGGTTGTTCTTTTATCGTGTCTTGTGCAAACCAAGGTGTTCCCAAGTGAGTGGGTGAAGGTTTTCACTACCTTAAGTCCAAGCCATCAATGAATCTTGAAAGCATCTTTGTCAGTTTGCTTTGATGATCTTCCACATGAGCTAAAATGTTGCTTCCTCTACTTTGTTGTGTTGCCAACCAACACTACAATTGAGGCACGCAGCTTGGTATTTATGTGGGTTGCGAGAGGATTTCTAAGTTCAAAGGGCGGAAGACAATGGAGAAGATTGGCCATATCTACCTATCTCGAGTTGATTAATCGGAATCTTATCAACCGAGTGAAAATGGATGATGATTCCAGCCGGAGATATGTCGGTCACAATCCAAAACAAAGTCCATGACTTTTTGCAGATAGAAGCACATGAAGCAAAGCTTCGTGGAGGTCCATAGCCATGATGATATCCCTACATTAACTAGTGCTCGCCGCCTCTCTCTGCAGAACTACACTGACAAATATGTTGTCCTAGCCCATCCATCTTCTCTCAGTATGAGCAAGAGCCTAATAAAGGTGATCAGGGGCACAGGTCCAAAGGAAGCCGGGCATATATGTTTCATTTATCTCAACGAAGGGCAATATCTAAGATGAAGAAAGACATCGATCTCACATAAAGGAACTGTTTCATGGATCTGAGTTTCTCCGTGTCATCAATCTACAAGGCATTGAGATTGGTGAGACTTTGACAAGTGCAATTGGCAATGTTGTGCACTTGCAGTACCTTGGCATCACATCATGTTCATCAAACATATCCCACGGTCCATCGAAGACTCACTAGCCTCCAAACATTGGATGTGAGGGAAACTAATGTCCGAGAGCTCCCAAGGTCCTTTTGGATGATTAAGACCCTGAGACATGTCCTTGGTTTTGTCCTCATCTCGCCCAAGCAAATTGGCAACTTGAAGCACCAGCATACTTGACTCCATAGATCTTGAAGAAGTTTGGGAGGAACCGACTTTGGAAAGGACACTAGGAGAGATGATCCATCTTGAGTTCTTGTCAATCTAGCATATCTCACATGTCAATGTGAAAGCTCTTTCTGGTGCTCTAGAGAAACTTGAGAGCCTTAGGACCCTGATCTTAGAAGGTAAAATTATTCCTTCAAATGTCTTCACCACCGCTTCCCTCTGACGTGTCAAATTTATGTTCCTAAGTGGGGATCTGGTACATTCATCTGATCTAGATGGTAGTGAATCCTTTTGTCTCCCTAATCTCATCATGCTTTCTCTGGAGAAAACATATGTGACTCAGGAATTCATTAGCAAGCTGTCTGAGCTGCCATTTCTTGCCACCCTTGCATTGTACCCTGGCTCGTACAAGGACAAGAAACTTGTATTTGCTTCATCCAAATTTCCACGCCTCAAAAAGATCAAGATGATTGACGTGGAAGTGCTGGAGATTGTTGAAGTTGAGGTGAGCATGGTTCCTGAGCTCAAAGAGTTGGAAATTCACTCCCCATTCACAGGTTGTTATCATAATATTGACCTGGGTAATGACAAGAAACGTTCTCAAAAAACAAGGATCTGAATGGTGGATGATATTCGCATGAGTCATGGTAAGGTAAAATTGGCACCCACCGCAGCCATGCAAGTATATATAGATTAACATGCCATCGTTCCTATGAGCTACATGCTTGTATATGGCCACTGTGTATGGGGTATTGTGTGTTCCCGCGCACTCTCTTAAATATGTTGTTTTGTTCGTGTTGAAAGATTGTGAGTTGTAAATATTTGGATGACGTCGTTATTGTCGGTGTTGTTCTATGTACATACTTATATGTAATAATAATGTGGCAAAAGTCATGACCCTTACACTGCCAAGAGCCCATACATAAATGTGTGCTACTATAATAAAAATGCAGTGAATGTTTACCTGCAGAACCGCAGAAGCATCAAGAATATGAAGTTGAACATGTGTTACCATTATTTTAAATAAAAACATCACATAAATGATGTGCGATAACTCCACCGGAAGATTGAATTTGGGGGGGGGGGAGATGTGTCAATTTCTACCTACTCCACTGCTGCCAGTTCCTTGCTTGCTGCCATATCCTCAGCTGTGACAAGGCTTCATCTACACAATCTTCTCATATTGGACCAAATACTGCTGTCCCATTTCACAATGCATAACTTACATCAAAGGAATCTTTTACCTCAGCAGACCATGCACGCACGGTTTTATTCACACAACTCAAATCCGTTGATTTCTGAATCACAGCACTTGATCCAAACTGGCCCTTGTCTAATAACTGCCAAGTCAAAGGAAAGCAGCAATTTGCACCCAAAAGGGAAGCTATACTAAAATAATAATAATAAATACAAATAAATAAATTTAAACAATAACAGAAGTATTTGCAGTTCACATCATATCTATGACACTATGACCAGTAAGTTCTAAAGCTGCATCAGCCCAGCCCTAAAACCGTTATGTCAGAGGGCAACTCTTAAGTAACAATTCCAGTGCCACTTTCTTTTTGCCTCAGGGGATCAATGCAAATGGGGGAAGACAAAGTCTAACTACTACACAGAACCAGGAAGAGTTAAACAGCTCAGACCAAACCAAGGAGTCATCACAAAAGCCTCATGCCTATTCTACAATTTTTCTAACCGTGACAACGGTCCTGCCTCTCTTGCAGGGCCAGTCACGTATAAGTTCGATACTAGGTGATTATTGTTTAATGTACAAAAGTTAGCACAAGGTGCTGCCTTTATAGCCCGATGAATGCCATGCCACCATTGAGTCATTGTCGTTGGGCAGACGGAGACTGCTGCACCTGCACTGGTGGGAAGAACCCCATGCCTGCTGATGACTGGAAGAATCCTGCTGATGTGGGTGATTGCTGTGGTGCCTGGGGAGACTGCTGCTGCTGCTGGGGTTGGTTCTGAGCCGGTGGAAGCGGAGGTGGAGGTGGTGGACCACTTGGTCCTGGAAAACCTGCCGGCATAATGTTGGACATTGGAGGCGGAGGTGGCATAGAGCCGACCATCATCCCGAAAGGTCCCATTCCCATCATTCCTCCAGTACTTTGACCAAATTGTTGCAGAAGCGGTGGCAAAAATGGCGGTGGAGGTGGTGCAAATGAACCTGGTGCTTGGTTGATCTGCGCTGGTAGTTGCGTGGTCACTGCTCCAATCTGTTGTTGCATCTGTGGCACTTGCACAGAAAAGGGAGGAGCACCCATGTCACTGCCCTGTGCAGTTTTCTCAAGCCTAGGCCTCTTTTCAATCTGGAAGCCCAGCGGTCCACCAGAGAGTTCTCCAGAAGGCGATCCACTATTCATGGAAGATAGTGAAGCGCCATGTTCAGCAACAAAAGATGATAAAATGGAGCTCAGAACCTGCACAGGTGCTGACAAAGATGCCAGCTTATCTGCCATTGCTGCTGCCGTTCTCTTGGGCTCATCTCCCACTGCACTGACTGTAGGGGCAAGTGAGGTTGCTGGATTCAGTGACTGTAACTGGGGAGACATCAGCCTTACTCCAGAACCCTGTATCATAGCAGCTGTTTGTTCTGTTGGGGTAATCATTAGCAGACTAGAACTAGATCCTGTGCCATTTATGATAACGGCACCATCAAATCGCTGCCTAAGTTGAATGGCATGTTCAGCCTCTGCTCGAGCAACCTGTTATGGCAATCAGATAAGGGATTACCAATAATGTCATAAGACAGCTAAAAGATTATTACACCATAAATAAATTTCAGAAAAAAAAGAAAGGAGCTAATTGAGAAGCAGCGACTGGAATCAAGACATGCATGTCGGCATCACCCAAGGCACAAAACAGAGAAATGCAAAGGCCAGACTAGAAGGATGTGAAGACCACTCTGAAAGGTGGTGATCAAACATCTCAAGTTGCTATGGAAGCAGTCTAGGTGGGCTTTTTCAATATAACAGGCTTAATCTCAAGGTGCTAAGAAAGAACTCTAGGTGGGTTTTTCAACATAACAGACTTAAGTTGTAATCAATAAATAAATAGTTCAAGTGAGCAGTGGAATTAATAATTAGTTTTAAGTGAACATGGGTTTGGCCAGGTAGGAATCAGAACTGGCAAGAGGCATACTTGTGCCATAAAAAGGTGCTAGATGGCTCAGACAACACACATGCTCATGGCTTACTAGTGCAGGTGCCATTTATGAAAACAAGAATTCAGTTGGGAATGAACGGATTAGGTCTCTCTACTTGAAGTTCTACACATATCCTCTAATAGTACCCACTTTCATAGCTGTGGACGGACATGATTGCAAGGAACAATAACAGATGAAAAGCCAACATGCAATAGGGCATAAAGAATAGTTCTTACTTGCAACTGGCTGCGAAGAATTTCTGACTTTGACTCCTGTTATAGAAATAGGAAAGACAATTTCGAAAAGCATGAGTCATATGTAACTGAGATGGAACATTTGGAAGATAATGAAAGTGTGCATAAGACCTGTTCAATGAGAGCTTCTTTTAATTGATTTATCAGCGATATCCTCGCCACATCTACACTTTCAAGTTGTGAAATGCACTGCTTCAGGATAGTTTCCTGTTCTTGAAGATCAGAAAACATTGTTGAGGCAGGCTGATCACCTTATGAAAAACCATGCACGCCAAAAAAAAAGCAGAACAGATAAGAATGGTATCAAACTTTCTTCCACAGCAGATATCCACAATGTTAATAACTAGTGAGCAAGATAAATCCTTACCTTTGGTACTAGCATCGTCTATATTTTTCTTTATCTTTTCTAGAACACTAACAGTACTCTTACATTTGTTCAAAGCTGTGTCTTCATCAAAATGTTGATCAAGCACAGCTTGGTATGCAGTCACAATCTTTTCAGGCATACCACCAACAGTCAGTTTCTACAGAAGAATTCAACAAGTTAATACTCTCATATCCAATTCAATATGTTTTCACCCGAAAAGGAGAGTGATATAGGATAACTAGCAATTTACTTTTAGTACTGTACTGGAATCCTTCCTTGCAACTTTGGAATTTAAGGACTTAGAGCTAGGATTTGAATTATTCTGATTCCCATTGTTATCGAATATAGGAGGGTTGTCACCAAAAATGCTGTCTTTCAAACCTTCAATACGGGTTCCAAAAACTTTGCGTTCATCCCAAATTCCTATCTGTAATTCCAAAAGATAAGTTAGAAACAATCTTTTTATTCTGGATTTCCAAGAAAAAAATGAAGCAAATCAAATTAGCCATCAGTTATCCAGTATTTAGTCTAGTTTCAATAAAGTATCATGTCCTATTGGTGCACATTATCCTGGCAGATTTTGCAGCAAATTTCTTTACACAGTATTAATGAAGGACCAAGCAAACTATGATTAAAATTGAACGACCCTTCCAAATATTTATAACATCAGAAACACCGGTGGAAGAAAACCTGAATCACTGCTTCTGGCAGATGAGTAGCAACTTACCAAGCAAGACAGTGTTTAAGAAAACAAGATATTCATTAAACCCAACACTATTGGAAATGGAGGAAATTAGGCTACAAACTAAAAGGCTAATTGCTTTACTAATTGATTCTGTTCTAGTTAGTTTACGCTCACAATTTCTGTACATACAATTATATATACCAAAATCGAATGCACCATGGACATGACCATGATCATAGCTTCAAAAGACATCAGAGCAAATAAGTACTATCTGGAATCCAGAAAAGTGTGCCAGGGGAGTAATAAGGATATTTGAATAACATAAAGCAACTAATAGCATATAACTCCAATAGTTTGCTACAATTAAATTGAATTGGTCATTGATCCAATAGTACTATAGTACTTTAATTGTACTAAAACATTTAGATCCTCCTGCATTCTTGGACAACGCTCTAGAACAACTCTAGGAGCTGCTGCACTGCGAAGAATTAATCTCATCATAGTGAAACAAGATAATACTTACTAGTCTCTCGCCACCAGTTTCATTCCTTCTTCTCCCCATTTTCGTGAGACATGTTTCAACGATCTGGGTAAAACCTCCAGAACTCATGCACATAATCTCCTCCCTTTGCGCTTACTGTTTTGCAAGATATCATTTGATAGAAATAGGAATGATATTTTCTTATCCTCTGTTGCACTACTGAACTGCTTTTCCCATGTGTCTACAACCCTTCTGGCCCTCTTATGGTGAAAAAATGCACCATTGTGAAAGTGCTGCACAAGGGTTAAGGAATACAAGAAAGAACTGCTAATGCAATATTTAGGTGCAAACTTACATAGGAAAAATATAAAATTCTAATTAAATTTGACATATGCACAGATAGAGGAAATGAGGAAATAAATAACCAATTTGGCCATTTATTACTTAAAGCACACAAGGTATATAAACCACAAATTGAGTCCACAAACCATCAACATGAAAAAAGGGGGAACATAGATCCTAGGTATTATATAGATGCCATCTATGAACTCTACCTACCCTGTAGATTCCCACTGACGTGTTAAAAGTTCTGCTGTTTCCTTCCAATTTTACAGTGAGTGTCATATTAAATCTCAAGAAGCAGAACATTTTCTGAGGGAAACAAATAATAACATTGCT